TTTTTAAATAACAGTGAAAACATAACCTAAAAACTTTGTTTGTTGATCAATTTAAAGAAATAAAAAAGTCTATAGTTTGTGAATTTGTTCCTTATTATGTGATATTTTTGATATTTATTAGAAGTTAAAAATGCTTGGTTAAAAAGATGTCGATGTCTCCATACTTTGCTCCCTACCTTCTGGGAAGAGGGGTATTATGAAGTTGTGCCTTTAGATGTAAAAAATCATATATTCTCTGGAGAATGTCTATGGAGAATTTCTCCATAAGAATTTATAGTTTATTTTGTGTTCAATGTTACTTTGTATTTCGTATAAAATACACTTTTGTTGAAAAAAAAATTGTCTTTTTTTCTGATGTTGTTTAACTTATACAAATATAATATAACTTTATACTTCCATCAGCTTCCATGATAAGAATTTGGCTTGATTTTAGTTTAAAGTCTAAATTGTTTATGTTTTACTATGTTTTTGTAGGTAGTTTTTAACGTAGTTTTTGTGTAGTTTTTGAAGGTAGTTTTTAAAATTTTAAAACGTAGTTAATACAAAAAACTACGCGTAGCTTTTGGCGTAGTTTTTTGCTTCATAAACTACTTAACAACCCTGCATTTTACATTTATTTGATTTGCCAAAGTATTTATTACTATAAATAGGTATATATTATATTGTATTTATTAACTGTATATTATGTATATTTTATGTAAACTATATCATTTTTAAAATACAAACCAAAAATACGAGGAATAATTGTGTTTTCCATGTATTCTACAACATATTTATTAATCCGTAGTATCTAACTAGCGTGACGTCATAAATCTCGCTCCGTGGCTGTTCTACTAGAGACAGCATTGGTCTAATATTTAGAAATGTCAGAAGCTGATGACATTTTACTTTTGTCAATTATGACATTTCGTGTTGATTTTTGCAAGAAGATGAAGAACTGTCACTTGTTTTATTATTTTCCTTTTCTATTTCACGAAAGTAAAAAGAGTTACCTATATGATTCGTTCAGGCACTCAATTTAAAGAATATCAGTAACTTTTTTGACAGAGGGATTTTATATTTGCCATGTTGGTCAAAAATAACGGTCAAAATTCAAAGTTATTCATTTTATAGACTATATAATATTGCTTTATATACATAATAAAAATTAAAGCATTCAAAATAAAATGAATACTATTTTATCGGATATCTAATATTTAGTCCTTTTAAAGTAATTATTACCCTGTATGTTTTAAAAGATGTATAATTTTAAAAGAAAGGTGCCCGGTGGCGTAGAGGTACAGGCTCTCGTCTACCAATCTCAAGGTGTGGGTTCGATTCCCACACCCGGCATTTCAGCAGCCGACAATTTTTATTAAAATAAAAATAGTTTGGGTACCTAGGTCGACTCAGCCTTAAATGAGTACTTGGGATTCACATTCTTGAGGTAATAATAGGCGGTTGAAGCGTAGTGCTAGCCACATTACCTTCCTTGTATACCGAACGGCTCTAGTATAGCAAGCTGTACCTTGCTACTCCCAAGGCGTTAAACGCTATATACGGGAGCTATTATTATATGTTTTAAAAGAACCACGTTCAAAATAAACTGGCATTGCCTTATTGTTTTTGAAAAGTGTTGCTTGTCTATTTATTCCAATAAAGCTTGATTTTCATGCATCCGTTGTCCGACGATACGTTGATACGATATTAATTTTATTGGTAGAGTTTAAAGACTTTGATTGGTTAGAAAATAACGCAGTTTTTAAATTTATTGCATTTTCATGCCTCCGTTTATCGGATATACGTTGGTGTTATTTTATATTTTCGTTTCCATAACGATTTTGCTATTTTACAAGGTATTTTACTTATATTTTTATTAAGGTTAGATTAAATTTGTCAAAAAAGTGTCAAAACGTCCGTTATCGTATGAACGGGTCCGTTGACGGGCTGAAGTAAAATATTTACGGATGAAAAGTGGTGCGAAAACGCTATGACCAATCAGAGCACCGTCGGACCATCATGTCCGACGGTCAAAATCAAACCAAAACACCACAAAACAATATACCGTATGATGGAAAAAAGGCGTCCAGTTGCAGTAAAAATAAAGTAAATGACGATTAATGACATTTACCATACAATTTTACAATGACAGCGATCTTCACTTCATAGCCATCGCTGACGCCGTTTGTTAACACTAATTTTCTTTAATTCGGCCAGCAGCGAAGGCATTTCGAAGACGGTGTGAAACTAAAAGCGACAGTGTTGCCAGATTAAAATGAGTAATATCTGTAATACCTTTAACGAAAATATCTTTGGATGAAAAATTCGCGTTTATGCACTGAAAATTTATTCGTGTTAAACATAGAATAAACAACAAATCAGTTCAGTAGTCAGTTCTATATAGAGCTCTACAGGCAAAACGTTAGATAAAACGTTATGTGTTAACAGGGCTTTATAGCAAACATAATATAGTTCGTAAACTACGTGCGACGGTCGTTGCGAGATAACGCGACAACTATGTATTTCAGTGCAGTCCCTTATTGCGCTGGGACGTTCTCACTTTTCAATTTCCTTCAAACAAATTATATTATTAAAATAAAATAATGTAGGTGCCCGGTTGCGTAGAGGTACAGGCTCTCGTCTACCAATCTCAAAGGTAGTGGGTTCGAATCCTACACCCGGCATTTCATAAGCCGACTATTTTTATTAAAATAAAAATAGTTTGGGTACCTAGGTCGACTCACCCTTAAATGAGTACTTGGGATTCATAATCCTGAGGTAATAATAGGCGGTTGAAGCGTAGTGCTAGCCACACTACCTTCCTTGTATACGAAAGGCTCTAGAATGGCAAGCTGTACCCAAGGCGTTGAACGCTATATATACGGGAGCTATTATATTATTAAAATAAAATAATTCAATTTGGTCTATCAACTGTTCATTAGGGTATTAATTATGGAACCTGCTAAACCTAAATAAATATGTAATTGGCAACTATAATTATATAGGTTTCTAAGTGTCAAACATAAAATAATTAACAAGCATAAGTGCAAAATAAACAATATGTGCCTTACCTACGGCAATTGGTGTTAGAGATGTGTATGATCTACCAACAGCTTCTGTTAGCAGCATTAAAAATGACAACTAGTGTTAGTTTTTTGTGGTAAAAAGCCACAGCCACATAAACAAATAACAAAATATTCAACGCTATATAATTAAAAGATGCAAGAAAATATTTTAACATGCAAACAGAGTCTGTGTTGGTAATACTGTGACCCAGTTCAGGTGTTCAAAAAGAGCTCCATATTTTTCTATGCTCCATATTTTTGATATGAGGGAGTAGCGCGCATTTGAAAAATATTTTTATAAATATACAGGGTTATTCAAATATATTTTTACACTAAAGTTGCATTTTTTAACTAGGAAATTGTTTTTTTTTCGTTTATTGAATTTTTCACTGACTTTTTCTGATGTTAGCAAAGTTGTATGGAAAGATATCGGAAAACCGAATAGCGTCATGCAGTATTTACGCGTACCTTATCATGGTTACGATATGCGCGAGTCAATTTTTAACGCAACGCCCGCTAATAACGTTACCGCCTGACTTAATTTGCGGATCAATATCTGCAATTACACCCAAGAACGGTAAGGTTAACTGTTCTTGAATTACACCAAGCGCTATTTGTAAATAACATAAAAATTAAAAATTGCTTAAATGGGCATATGCGGGAATTTGACAACCGGGGCCGGCAGGTGAGATCTTTTATTTTAGGTTATGTTTGAATTGTTTTGAATTATTACTTTAGTTTTATTAGGTAATTTGATATTTAAGTAGCTGGGATTAGTTTTAATTAAATAAATATGGCCCAAAATATGGATTCCACCTCTTCCAATATTAAAGAACCTCTAAAGAGGCTTAGGTTTACCGCAGATGACGACTTAGCCCTTCTAAGAGAATTTATTGCCGTAAACCCACTGGAAGACGTTGGACAATAAAGCACTGGAAATAAGCACTTCAGCCCTTTAGTTTTAAAATACCTAGTAAACAAAACAATTTCAAAGTTTTAAATTCAAAGTTAGGTTAAGTTTAAATAGCGGACTAGACGCGAACAGAATTCTTTCCGATCCGGTAACTATAAATGAAGAGAGTTAATACCACCCCACGTAAAGGAAATAACACCTGGCCTTATTAACGTCCATGCACGCTATTCGGTTTACCGATATCTCTTTATTACGCTGTTTATTGTTATTTTACGCGAGTTTATTTTTGCGCACAGGAAATTTTACTCGTTTGCTCATCGTCATAAAAAACAATTTTCATACCACGAATTAGGGATAAGATTTTTATCTTTATACATATAGTATACCTAATCTGTGTTACTATAAACATTTGTGCGGCAATGCATAGCTTTAAAATTACAGGATGTTAAAACTTTTAACATCCATTTATCTCATCAAGGAGATCAAAATCGATCAAATATCTATCTAGATACAACTTTTAATCGGCATTAAACGGCCTACCCAATTTTGCTACTAAGGAAAAAAAAGTCAGTGGCGCACATGGTTTTTTTTCTGTTTTTAGCATTAAAATATGTAGCACTTATTGTAACTTTTACCCTCAATATTTCATTTGAATCACTAAAAGCACTTGAAAGAAAATTATCATAAATTGAAAAAAAATTAAAACTTTAACCCCCTATAGCTATATAACAAAGCAAACTAGATATAAAAAATAAATTTTATTTTATGTGAGAAATCGGCACACGAGAGATGGCACATATTTTTTGAAACACCCTGTATTTTATGATATAATTTTATGGCAAATCCAATAGGTAAGTATTAAAATAAATATGATGTATAGTGTAAAAACTACAGCTATAACATAAAAATAGATACATTTGGGAATTTTTTTCAAATCACCCTGTATATTTTTTGATGGTTTAAAATAATCCAGTATAAAATTGAAAGTTAGCAAAGTCATAAACATTCTTTTTTGAAACAGTAAAAAATTCCTCTATACTTACCGGTGACTGTGATAAAATGTGGAGATGTTGTAGCAATAGTATCTTCTTGAGACTCAGTTTCCTGGTCAGCTGGTCCAGTACTCTCGTTACTAGAGTCTCCAGTCTGCTCTAAAGGCAATTACAGGTACACCATTAACCAGAGTTCCACTCGCTGTCCCCTAAAAGTTAAAACAGACATAAAAATAAAAATTCCCTTAATAAAAAAACCGTCACCACGATGTCAAGAAAACCTACTTTTATCTGTCCTGCACGTACAAAGAAGAACTGTTTAAAACTAGACTAAACAGAACTAAAAGAACAATTAAGACGCTTATAAAACAAAGAAGAAGGAAAAGTGATAGAGAGACGAAAGAAAGACCAGAGCACAGCACGGTGTCTATCAGTATCGAGATTACCTGATGTAAACTGGCTGGCAGCACGATGAGCTGGGTTGGCTGAGATTGGGCAGGGGGCGACGTTGCAGGACCGGGGGTAGGCGGGCTACTGCCACCGCCTCCTGCTGCAAAGCGAGCTGCGGTTGCCATGGCGGCGTCTCCAGGGCTACTCCTGCCTCTATCTGAACCAGCCAACGAGATAAGCTGGGGCCGGATGCTGCAATCGGAAAGTTTGTTAGTGGGCATGTGTTGGAGGGGCTGTTATTTTTTCCTTGGGAGATTTTTTTATTGAATGAATGGGCTAAAATGGTTTCTTGAAAATATAGCTATATTTTTAGTATGAGCAAATTGTTAAATTTATTTTTTTTTTAATATTTTATTTTAAAATAGTGTTACAATGTTACAAATAAAAGTAAAAAAAACTAATATAGCAATTATAAAGCTTCATTAAGAACGTCGAAATTAGTGGTAGTAGTTTTCGATTAGCAGAAATAGTTAACAAACTTTTAATTTTTCCACTAATTATAATTCAAAATTTGCGAGAAATGTCATTTTAGCCTTTGATTGTCATCTGTCAAGAAAAATTGTGGTTAGATATCAAAAGTTGAATGTTTTATAAACTAAATATTAAGCTTTATCTATGGATACAAATGACTACTGCAATCTGTTGCTAGGATATTTTATTAAGTTTAATTGTGTTTTTTAGACATTGCTTTCAGTTACACTTTATACACTTCCTCAATAAATTAAAGCACCACAAAAAAATAACCAAAAGTTTAAGTTAAGTTTTTGTCAAAACCACTTATCCGATTTGGACAATTTTTTTTTGAATGATAGGTTATTCTTTCCACAATGTTGCTATACTAACTGTATTTTGATAGGAACCATTTTATACTAATACCGGGTGTAGCAATTATAACGTGTTTTTTTAATAAAATTTGTGACACCCTGTAGAGTTGATCAGTTACAGTATCAAGTTGAAATTGAAATCACATTTTAGCCTTATCTTTTTTTTACATTTTGATTTTTTATTTACTCCATTATCTTCCTTATTACACGAGAAACAACATTTTATAGGATGATATGATTTAATATTGGTTTTAATTAACATTTTTCCATTTTACTCACTAAAGTAAGTAGCAGGGTATGCAAAAACACGGATTACCAGTAAATGTCAAATAGAGATGCTTGTTGTCAGTGTCAGTCGTTTTCGTCCATTTATTATCTATATATAGCGTTTTTTTTATCTTTTAAATACTTTTTCATAATGCTTTTATTATTTGAAGTAGTTGAAGTTGTTGGCATTTTGAAAAAGCAATCAAAAGATAAAAAATGCTGCTAAGACCATCAAAATAACGTTGATCTAATAACACTTTGACATTTTACTATTACGTCAAAAGCAACTTTTTTCCAAAGCCTACCATGGCTTCACTGAATCATCGTTTCTTGTTCACTATTATTAATATCTTAATTATTAGATATTAATACATCTGATATTATGATATTCTGGTATATCGTCGATTTTAAAATAAACTAACTGTTTCTATCTTATTTTTAGGTTAGAATAGAAAAGTATAAGAGTGCTACTGATACCGTGTTGTGAAAATAAGGTAATTAAGGGCTTATTTTTTGGTATTTATTATACTTTTGCTAATATCTTCGGTTTGAAAGAAGATATCAAGATGCGGTTTTCGCTGAATTTTTAAGCTTTTATTGATCATTACTATCAGCTAAAATTACATATACGATGGCATTTTTTTTAAACGCGCAATGTTTGTTAAATTGTAAGACAGCGCCCCTAGCGTCTCCATTCAAAAGCTTATTATTATTGTTTATATGGTGCAATATAGAGTAAGAAACGCTCTTTTAAACGAGCCCTCGCTTGTTGGATTCCGATCATCCGTCCAGAGTTATTAATATTCAAATAAAAACAGATCTAACCTTCCCCCACCACTTTATTTTAGTAGATAGGGGAAAATGGCTCTAACAGAAAATATTCAAAATTTACTGAAGATTATGAAGCTGTTACTTATAATACACCTTATCTAGGCAAAATTGTGTAAAAACTCCATTTTCTTATTTTTTGTTGCAGTTGCGCCCCCTAGCGGTCGTTCTACAAACTTGAAAATAATTTCCAGCAATTTCCCATAGCCTCTTTAGTAATAAGTATTTTTTTCCGCAGCCGCTACTAGCTGTAGGGACACCCTGTACAAGATACCTCATAAAAAATATTTGGAATACAAGTTACTAGATACCTCTAAGAGACAAAGTATTTGAGGTATTAGTTACAAAATACTATTGAAAAAGGTATTTGGAATACTAGATCTAAGATACTACGTATTTTCTAAATACTTTAAAAAAAAAGTACTTTTCGACTTAAATGTTAAATAATTAAATACTTTCATCTTATCTTTCAAATATAAGATGAAAATAGGTATTTTGTATCTTATATCTGTATTTCAAATACTTGAATCCAAAATAAGTCCCATCTCTTCAAGGATGTAAAAAAAACATTAGGAGGTAAGGGATATTTCAAAAACTTAGTTTTTTTCATATACTATATGTTGCATCGCAGACCTGAACATAGAAAATCACAAGGAAATTTTAAAAATGAAGAATAAAAGACCCCCATTTTATTTTAGAGAAAAAAATATTTGAAACTTTTTAGAGAACTTAAAATTCTGGAAATTGTTCATTATGAATGGTTTGTACGAATTCGTTTTTGAGTTATGGGGCACAAAATACAAAAATACTAAATTAACCGACAACTAAAGTAATTCTGTTCTGATCAAACAAAGATAACAATCGTATAAACCATTCAAAAAGAACACGTTTGCTGCTTAATTTTAAGTTCTTTAAAAAGTTTAAAATAAGTTTAACTCTAATTATAAAAGGGAGATCTTTTAAAATTTACATGGGATTTCCTATATTTAGGTCGGCGATGCAACAGACTGTAGATACAATTTTTCGATTTAGCGTTTCCCGACAAAGTTTTTAATAAAAGGTGAACCAAAATCATATTATTATCGCTGACGCCGTTTTTTTTTTTTCAAACATATTGTATATTATCTGGTGTATTAGATATGTAAATAACATACTTTTTAGATAACATAAATATACCAAAGAAAAATTATTACAAATTACTTAAATATTTTTTCAAAATCTATGTTTGTTCCTCACCATATTAGCTCATAGCTCTCTATCATTATACGGAAGAACGAGTTTTTTAACAACTCATTTAATATCATCTCAAGTCTCAAGTTCCTATTTACATATCAACAAATAGAACTACATAATCCGAAATCACTTAAATGAAAAGCAGTAGTGATGCTACTGGTAATGATGCTAATTATGTACAAAAAAATGTACGCACAAAACGTACGCCTAAAAAACTTTTAGTCTATTGTAGATGTGTGAAAATAACTTATTGATAATTTTAGTGCAAATAAAGAGAACAATAAATATTAAAAGGCGCTTTAAATTATTTTTTTCTTACTTTGAATAGATCCTGCAATTTCTCAAGTTCACAATATCACATTTATTTACAAACTTCTCTTTCCTATCACTTTGAAAATAATTCAGTAAAAATATATAAAACACTAGGTAGTCTAATAATCCCAAGAAAACATAACAATGTGAGCCTAATAACTGCACCGATAATAATGGATAAACTAGACAGGATATACATTGCAGTTGGTTAAATCAGTGAAGTGGAAAGCTCACCCCCATATTTCTATTGTACACCTTGCTAGCTACCCCTGTAGCACGTGCTAATATACATAAAAACCCTGAACTTCAAACGGTTATACCAGGTGTTTTGATAAAAAAAACATAAACAAGATAAAATACTGATATCTGCTTTAAAAATGCACTGAAACAAATTTTATTTACAGAACCACTATGGGGATTTTTTGAATAAAACTTCTTTACGCGCGCTGGGAGTAAAAATTCAAGGCCGTGACACACAAGCGCGAGACGAAAACTGGTAAGGACAGCCTATGGCTTAGAAATACATAGCGACGCGATGTGTATTTGGGAGCAGTCCACGTGTTTATCAAAAATATTGATATTTTAACACATATCTTGTGAAAATTTTAATTTATTACTTTTGCAACATTTCAAATTACCCTTTTTCAAACATGTCCTTCAAATCCTTCAATTTAATAGCTGTTAATAAGAAGTTACACTTCAAATAATTTTTTTAATTATTTTTGAACCCCGTGAAGACTTTGAAATAAGATATCCCAATCCTGAAAACATCATACACCTGTTATATATAATTACAAAACTACCCCCCTTATCCAGATTAAAAAGGGGTTGGACTTTAATTGGGCTAAAGATGGCAAAGTAAAAGGTATAGAGTATCTATCTACCTCAATAATAAGGATGAAGATTTGCAGGTGATGAATCATACCAAACACCATGGGAAAAATATTTTATAGGGGTTGAAACACCTGACACTGAATGATACCAAAAGCAGGGGAAATTTTCCAATATGAGGGAAAGTAGTAGCTCATAAAAATGTGTAATTTTTCTAAATAGCTATCCAAATAATTTATATTCTACATCAGAAAATAACTAAAATCACTAATATGACATTTTTCAATGCAATATAACAATCCTTAATGGTTGAAAATCTGTGCCTACGTGTCCATACAATCTTATTGTCAGCATCGAAGAAGATTTGGAGAGAAGGTGTATTGCTATAGCGACACTCCATAGCAACGCTTAGGGAGTTTCACTTTCATCGAGGGATGCTATAGAGATCAATGTGTTGGCCTGCTCGAATAATACAGTTATAACTTTTCTTGCAAATACCTATTCTTTTTTGGATATTATTTATTCAAATATCTTTCCAAAAGTAGAAAGTTTTACAGTTAATTTGTATTTGTTTTCTTAAATAAAAACTTTACAGTAATATAGTAAATAATGTGAGTCAATATTTAATAAAGCCAACTTTAGTAAATATTATTAATACTCTTATTTATCCATACATTTTCAGAAAAATTATAATATCATCATTAATCCACAAAATAATGTGCTTGATTAAGATAGTAATCAAACTGTCCATAATTCCTTTAATGCGGAAAATTGCTTTTTGAAAGATGACACAGATCAATTTTCATACTTTGAATGACTAATTTTCCTTCTTTGATAGCTAATTTTCAAATTGCCCTGTCTGCCTCTGTGTGAGAGCGAAATTCGACGTAGGGGACGACATTGCAATGATTAACTTAAATTAGGAAAGCGATATCGAATTTTTATTTGTATATTTAATAAACGGAAAAAAACACAAGGAAGAGGCCATTTGTAAGTTCAAAAAATACTTAATTGAAGGAAGAAGAAATCATAAATGTGCAATGCAAAATATAAAATGGCTTTGTTATTAATTTTAACGTAAAGAAAAGTAACAAAATAATTGATAAAATATAGAAAAATCAAGCAAACTAAGCATTTACCTAATGTTGCTATGTTGTTGTACCCGTTGCTAGGCAGTCGCCAAGGATACCGAAGTGGATATTCCAATTTTGACAGGTGCCTCAGATTTCTGCGATTTACTTATATTGTTCCCTTTTTTACAGTGTATTCTTTTTACTGTAAAAATAATTATCTCTTACGTATCTCCATTTTTTGTACTTGATGTATTAATACCCCATAGGAACTGTTATTATTGATTATTTTAATGTGGCAGACAGCTGAGACGGCAACTGCCATAACCGACCGATAAAACAGGAATCTGTCATATTTCTCGCCACTGACCACTGATAGATTATTTTTATTTCCTTTTCTAGATACTTTTCCATACCCTTGATAAATTTTATAAAATAGCGAGGGAAGTCAGATACATTCAAAAAAATTATTTTTAAAACTTCTATTAAATTATCCAATAATTAAATTTATAGAAATCCTTTTATTTGTTGCAGAATTATATTAAAATTAAACCAAGAAAGTAAATTGGGTTGCCTATATTAGAATAACATACGTTTGTATTTGAATATTTTAAACTTGCATTAATTTTATGTAAAATAAGTTAGTGCTTAGCTTTTTTACATTGTCAAGACCTACCTGTTTTGAATTTTTATTTATTTATCTATATAACAAGCAACTTTTTATTATAAATATTTTGGTAAAGGTGTGGGGTCTGGATGTGGTCTGGACATGGTCTGGACCAGAGATATAGACTAAGGTCTGGATCTGGTGGCTGACCTTTAAGGGATTATTTGCTGCAAATAGTCACAGATTGCAAGTTATTTTGGAATTATTTTCAGTAGAAAACAAATTAATGTTTTTTTCACTGCTATCAATATAGATTATTTACAATATTATATTATTATTTTAATTAAACAGAAATAAAACTCTAGATTGACGCTACGTTTAAAAAGTGCTTTATTAAAACTTCGGAAAATTAAAAGAGGCGTGTCCAAGTTTCTTCTTTTTTTGGAATTTGTAAATACCTTATTCAAAGGTAAATACTGTAGCTCATCCTTGTCTTGTTCATACTAAGTTTTATAACATTTCATTAAAATTGTAGAATCAGCAACAATAATAATTACATTGTTTAATTCTGCTTGATATATAAATATTATAAAAAATATCTTAATATCAATCCAATATGCTCAAAATTCCACCTTCACCATATTGTCAAGATTCTATTTTGGCATAACAGGAAACAAAAATTATATATTCTTGTGTTGGAGCTTGGAAATTGATAAAAAAAAACTACAAATACATAATTTGTACAGCACAGAATCATGTTATATGAGTTTTTTTTTATTGATTTCATAGCAAAATTGGTGAAATAAAAGCAAAAAATCTTGGCTATTACATTGACTAAGAAAATGCCTTGTAGAAGCTACAAATAGGGTCCTTGTTTTATAATTTATAGACGTAATAAGTCTCTATTTAACCAAATATTACATTATTTCCGAAAATATCCAACAACAAATTTATATTAATTGAAGATTCTGAAGGTTACCAAACCGCCACCATATTTTTGAATTTTATTTTAATTTATATGGGTTTAATAGGTCTGAAACTGCTTAATTAACTATATTTAATGATAATCCATAATTCCTTAACTATTTTAAAGCTTCAAAATCTTTTTTAAGGCAAAAATCTATTTTTTATGATACTAATAATTAGTGACATTGGGGTAATTAAAATGCGATATCTATGTGAATTTTGCTTTATTCGTTTATTGTTTGGTGTCATTTTATTCGGAAAACACGTAGCTACATTTCCCTGGTAGTAGTTTTGTCTCCAATGTAGCGTTATACTGCCAAATTTTCAGTTAAACGTGAAATTTAGGTCATAAAATTACATAATTTTTCATCGGTAAAACAGAAGAAAAACGCGAGTTGGTGCTCCCTCTAGCGTAAAAAATCAGAAACCTAGCGCCAAAACTCAATGTTATTGGTCGTTTCGGTCGATTTTCGTCATCTCTAGACGGACCGTTGGCGATGTAATGTCTTTGTTAGTTGCCTCTCCAAAACTTGTTAAGGAAAAGTGCCTTTTTCTTGCATATTGTGCTCGGAAATCATGTGTAGTGCATAGCTGGACTCTTAGTGAGGGTAAGTTCGATCATTTTCCTACGAATTTCCCGATATTTTACGAAAAATCCGACCATCTAAAGGCGGCCGGTAGAAGCGCAAAGCGCAAGATCAACAAAAAAAAGTCAAAGCCACCTTTATTTTGTTAAACTTTTCGTTTCTGTCTGTTTACTTTTTTTTATACTTTCTGTTGCTATAAATAGTTCTTTTTTATGGTTGTACTGTATTAAAATAATCATTTTCAGACTTAAATAGTTTGATGAATATAGTATTTTAGAAATAAAAACTTTATATAAGTGTATAAATTATAGTCAATCAATTTTCTGAAGAATATTTCTAATAGTAGTGCACTTGATGTGGTACATATATGGGATTTCTTAAAGATATTATATAATAGAAGAATTCTTATTATGTAATAAATCTTTTATAAAATAATCTAAATAGAGTTTAGGAACCTGTAAAACACTGAAAAATTACGTCTGCCTGTATTCAAACTAAATAACATTTAGAAATTTAATATAAGGTAATAATTAGTACTTAATATTGTAGGTATAACTGATAATCAATTATAACTGATTGTTATTGATAGTTTTTTCTGACGCTAGTAAATTTTCAATTCATTTATTTTATTTGTTTCTTTAGAGAGTTTTTGCTTAGGTTTTTAGGTTTCTAGATGTCCTTGTCTTGTGCAGGGTCCGGTAGAAATACCATGTATGACATTTATAGCTCCTAGAATAAAAAACTAAAAACATAAAAACATTCAAACTTTCTAAAATATAAAATAATTTTTGATTTTTTTTTTAAATATACAGTACCGGCCAAAAGTGGAGAAACTTTTCAAAATTAATTTGCTGCCGTTTTACAAGAACGAAAATGTTTATAAAGCATATATATTTATACATAGGATAACTGTCTCATAAAAATACACACAAGATTTTTTTGGAAAAAGCCTCTATTAAATTTTGAAAAAATTAAACTAATTTCTATGAGGACAAAAATGGAGAAACTGGTATTTTTTATACATTTGTAGTCGTTAGTCTCAGTATTTGGTTGCATAGCCTTTACTTTTGATGACTGCTTGGCACCTTTTGGGCATAGACTCAATCAAGTTCTTTATTACGTCCCCGAATATTTCATTCCAGGCTTGTAATAGGGCAGCGAACAAAACATCATTATTTTTTAATTTGTCCCTGTTTTTACGCCTAACAGCGACTTCTAGTTGATCCCATAGGTTCTCTATAGGGTTCAGGTCGGGGCTTTGAGCTGGCCATTTGATCATTTCAACTTGTTCCTCGGTTAAAAATTCCTTAATAAGTTTGGCAGTGTGTTTCGGATCATTATGGTGCATAAATTTCCAGTTTAAGGAGAGAGAGGATTCAGCATAAGGTACCATTGTTTCTTGCAAAATATTTAAATACATATAACGATCCATAATTCCATTTATTTGAACAAGGGGCCCGACCCTATGCCCAGAAAAATCGTTCCCACCTCCGTGTTTTATGGTGGGTATGGTGTACTTGGGATTGAATCTCTCATTGGCAGGACGTCTCACCCACCTAATACCATCCGAACCAAAAAGATTGTACTTGCTTTCGTCTGACCAGAGTACATTTTTCCACTGCTTGTAGGTCCAATTTGCATGTTCCAATGCAAATTGTAGTCGGGCCTGCCTATTTTTGTTAGAAATAAACGGCTTTCGGGCAGGTGTTCTGGCATTTAGTTGTGCCTGTTTCAGACGCCGTCTAATGGACCTAACAGATATTGAAATAAAAGGATATTCGTTCCTTATATCCTCCGCAGTGCAAAATGGATTTCTAAGTGAATATCTTCTTATTATTTTCTCTGTCGCCAAAGTTGTTTATTTTTTAGTCTTCCGGGCTTGGGTATACTGGCAGTTGTCCCACGATTTCTACACAAATTAATCTGTTTGCACACAACACTTTTATGTAAATTGAAGTGACTAGCAATATCAATTTGTTTAATTCTTGAATGATACTTCTCAATTATGATTTTTTTTTATTTGATCTGTCAAATTTATCCCGCGCGGCATATTTTTAACGCTCTGTGAACCCAATACCACGATCTAGACGCTTTAACAAGAGAATATCTCACAGAATGTTAATAAGAAGATAAGGTTTCTCCACTTATGTCCGCTAGAATTTGTAAATAATTTTTTGCCTGCAAATTTATTCACAAAATAAGCAGTTTTTATATGGCTATACAAAGCAGATTAAATGCGAAATATTTTCTTGATATCCTATTCTGCAGAGAGTAAACTGTATTTTGACATAGTAAAAATATTAAAAGTTTCTCCACTTTTGGCCGGTACTGTATATTATTTATTCACGTTTATTCATATTTTGATATTTCAAAATTTTTAATTATTTTGCAGATACACGCAGTATTATTTCATATGGCTTTTCAACTGTAAAATAGGAGAGAAAAATTATTGGGTGGCTTTGATAAAAATTTACTGTGGAAAATGCCATATTAAATATAAAACTGCGAATATCTGCAAAACCGTTAAAAATTTTGAAATACTCTAAATACAAAAAAAAATCATTTTTTAATTCTCCATCTATTGGAAAATAATATACAGGGTGTTCCATTAAAAGAAACAAGAAAAAATATTTTATATTTTAGAAAGTTTGGTGTAGAATTTTAAACATCCTGTATGATTTACGATTACCATATTTATAGCAAAGTAGATAAGTACGGATCCATCTTAGGAAATACTAAAGGAAAATACCTAATATAGTTTTGATTTCAGGACAGTAGGTACTTATATTTTTAATATTTTTTTTAGGAAAGGCTGAAAAAAATATTTATTATTTATTAATATCTATGAAACTATCGAAGTATATTTGCCCATATCTTAAGGTGCGTATTCATTATCCGAACGAACGAACGAATGAAAGTGCGGTATATTTAGACGGGGACCGAACGCCATGCGGCCGTTCGTTCGTTCGTTCGCTCGACCATCCGTTTCGAGTCGGTACATCAAAGGCGTTCGCAACAAATGCCTCCGGTCTTCTCGTGCGGTTCTATCGTACGGTCCCCGTCCATACCACTAGCGAACATTTGTTCGTTCGTTCGTTCGTTCGTGCGGATAATGAATACGCACCTTTAGGGTTATGTAAAGGGATTTGAAATGAAGCCAAAAATG